TATATATATATATATATAGTATCTCTTCATGTTTCATTATACAGATTGCTAAGCCTTTTTGCTTTCATTTCTGTATGATGTTCTGTGACTCCTTGATTGTTAGTTCAGAAATTGTCCTTTCAAAAGAGGTTCTGTTTAGCTGTTCTTTGTTCTTACCTTGGCTTCTTTACATCAGGCAGAGTCAGAGAGAGTCTATTGGAAAATAACAATTTTGTGTGTTCTTCTGGCAAGTAGAATCAAACTCTGTCACTCTCTGTTGCATTTAACACACTTTCTGTCTGTCAGACCTCCACAGACCCCTTCACTTGCTTTTCTTGTATCTTAGGAGTGCATGAACCTGTGTTATTACAGCCTGCCACTTCGCTGACAATAGAAGATTTTGGTTACTGCACCGCTACAAAATAACCCATTGTTTTCAAAAAGTTAGTGGCCCAGAAATCTTTTCTTCTCCCTCTTTCTTGTGGTGCAGGGTTTCTTATTAACTGAACTGGTATGTAGTCATTATACTTGTTCATTTGCTTTGGCAGGATACCTTTTAATAGCCTACAATACCACCCACATGTATCCTATCAATTTGGGTGTCATAAAAAATCCCTAATCTAAAGCTTACTTTCTTTTAGATGGCAGTCTTTAATAAATGACACCTTGTATACATAATGGAAAAGAGTTTGCAAGACAAGTCTCAACAGTTTACGCTGCTCAATTTGTGCATACACATGTCTATATATAATCACATTTCTACTTCATCTTCACTAACTCTTGAGTAAATCCGAAATCATGATTTCCCTCTCCAAATGTAGACAAGCATATCTTGGAAAATCAGGTTTTGTGCTGATGCACATGTTTATTTACTAACATATCCAGTGCTGTACAGGGTGGGGGGGTCCAGGATTTGGCAAGAGTGGGATGCACCCTTGCTGTAGGAGTTGCTGCACCCCTTCTCCCAGCCTCCTCCCCCATCCCACAAGTATGGACACGCCTTCCATAGCAGTATGGCTGCTATGGCGGCCTCTGGGGACTTTTTAAAAGTCCCCAAAGCATATAAGAATCCCCTCCTTTCCCTCCATACTAAGAAGCACATCTACTTTCCTCCCTCCCCTCCTCATCTGCTGCTACTGCTTTCCTCACTGTCCCAGGGCGAAAGCAGCTGGGCTGTGTGAGAGCTAGGAATAGTGAGAACTGTACCAACTGAAATGGGCAGCGAGTGGCAGGGGTTGTCACCCCCCCTCTGCCAGGGAGCAAGCATGAGAAGGGGGAGCCCCTTGCCCATCATCTCTCCTGCTGTCGTGGTTCCTAGCTAAGCCCAACCCTAGAGCTGCTTTGAAACTTTTCTCTACCCCAGACCATGGAGAAAGAAGTGGCAGTTGGGAGGAAGGGGATGTGCTTCTGAGCATGGAGGGCAGGAGGTGAATTCTTACATGTGCTGGGGACTTTAAAAAAGTCCCCCAGAGGCTCCTGGGCTGGACATAATCTGAATGGGGGTAGCATAGCTGTGCCACTGCACCCCCTCTGGATCCACCCTGGTGATGTATGCCACCATTTTTTTAAAGTATCGAATGCTCACAACTTCAGTTGAAGGCCGTATGTGCAATAGGTGTTCAGCACCTTTGAAAAACAAAAACAAATTGAAAATGTAAGATATAGCATACTGTACATTGTAAGTCAAAAGCCATACTTCATATATTAAACTTAGAGACAGACGAACAAGAGAGAGGATGTATTCTCCAATCATTAGTAAATAGTTAACTCTTTACTGTATCTCTGAAAAGACTTGACATGTTATTTTTCACTTGGTACCTGCCTCTGAAGACATTTTCCCCCATACAATAGCGATAATGCATAACCAGACCATGAAGCCAGCATTTGAATCAGTGAGTGACTCTATTAAATTCAAAATGTATTTTCTCCTTTCCTGCAGATCTATTTCTAAACTTTTAAGAAAGAAACTCTTTAATTTGTTCAGTGAATTACAGTGAATTTAAGTGTAGCAAGTGGGGACTAGGCTGGGCTGGCATGGGCACTAGGGTGTATAGTTAGCTTTTCAGAGGTTGTAAGTTTGATGCCATAGCCAAAGTGTTCATGGCATGGCCTGTCAGATTCCAACAAATCTATGAAAACTTGCTAAATACCTTGCCACAAGGACATGAGGGGAAAAAAAGGAATCAGATACAGTTTTGACACAGAGACTTCATTATTACTTTAAAAGCTTCAATTCAGAAAAAAATATTTAACTGTGTATAAGTTCATCCCTATTCAGGTCAGTTTTTAAGCATGCGTGTTCTCACTTTATGCACATTCACTGAGGCATAAGCACATTTATGCTTTACTTAATTAAGGTCCAATATAACAATCAATACACATATACACCCACGTATATCTTACTTTACAACATGTGGAATCAAAACTAGATCTATTTTATGCTGCCTTAAATCCAGAATAAATCTACAGACTTCCAATAGAGGCTATTACAAAGTTCTCACTTGTTTAGAAGGTATGTGCTGTTTTGTTTATGTGGTCCAAACAACTGAACTGCTTGACAAACTATGAATGAGATTCCAGCTAGGCCTAAAAGATGTTTTCTGAGTAGACAGGAGAGACTTGATGGGCCTTAGAGCTATAAATGAACAGCTAAAATATGAAATGTCTACAACTCACTAGCCCCCTACATTTGTTTTTAGGTTCAATGGTAAATGGATGGGGTTCTGCGTCTGATGAGGACCGTAACTTTTCTAGTCATAGATCTAGTGTAGGTAGCTCCTCAGATGACTCCATCTTTACCAGCGGCAGTTTTGCACAAGCACTGGTTGCAGCAGCAGATAAAGCTGGTTTTAGGCTGGATGGAACCAGCCTAACAAGAACAGGTTTGTAGACTCAAAAGTTGATGCTTTCTGCATGAAGGGCTTCTCTTCCTTTCTTCCACTTCTACTTTTCAGTGAACCTGTCTCACTCAACATTTATCTAACATGCATGGAAAAAGGTGGATGGATTTTTTTTATCTGCATAGTTTAATCAAAGCTTTACACTGTGTGTTAATTTTGGCAATCCAGAGCAATGAATAGCACAAGCTTTTAATTACAACCTTTAGTCTGCTATTTCTCTTTACTCTGCCTCCGCTATAGATTTACTGACATGTGTTCCCTTTTATATTGCAATGAAGAGACTACTAATTTTGCCATGCAATTTCTGATGATTTAGTTTTTGCAAAATCCTCTCACAATCAATAATGTTTCTAGTGATGAAAAGCACTGCTGTCTCCATTACTGCTTCTCTATCACCTCTCACTTGCAAAAGCATTTTCTGGGAAGACTCTAAATGTGGGGTGAGGTGGTGTAAGTTTATCATTAACAGTGCAACTATTTAACAGCCCTCTTAATCAGGTGCCTCTGCAGGCACTTAATTCAATACCTAATTACATTTGGATTGCTGAATATTAATTGAAAATGTATCAACTGCACCTACAAGTTAAATGTAACAGTCCAAAATGACTCTTGCTTTTTAAACAACCCACATTGTGCTTCTACAATAAAGTGGTAAATAGGAATAAATTTATAATTTACAAGCCTATGTGACATTTTTCACATGTTTGTTTCTAAGAGCACAAAGTAAAATTTAAGTTAAAAAAGTGTTTTGGATAAAAAGAGAATTGATTCGCATTTGAACAAAACAGTGAAATAAGTGTTGCTATTTATTTAAATCCAAAACCAGACTGTTAGAACTATGTGAATTACAGATATTTGTTCTTTTTGTTAGGTATCCATTTCACATTCCTCCACACAGGTGTTGCAGTGGTCCCATAATGTTGGAACTTTTAGTATTCTTCTCATATAAATCATACATGTCAGTAAATGACTTGCAGTTAGGAAAATTGCCCAGAAACACAGGGGCTGCTAGCAAAATTTGTGTATATGCAAAATAACTTTAGTGACTTCATGGCTTCCTGACTAAAAGCTAGAGGGGTTGTGGCACCCACCCAAGCCACCTGCAAAGACATATGGTGAAATCCCAGCTTTGTTTACATCAATGGGAGTTTTGCCACTGACTTGCGTGGGGCCAGAATTTTACCCAGGCTTTTCAGTTAAGTTCATCATTCTTTAAAAAGAGTTATTTCACAATTGAAAAAGACAACCCCTCATATTTCTTTGTTCTATTGGGGAAACATTGATTGTTGTTTTTTCTTTGGGAAAAAAAAGCTAATGTGCAGACATGCAGCTACACCAAGCAGGCAGCGTTTGGCCAAATAAAACTGATTATTTTGCCTCAGAAGACTCTGCAGAAAGTCATGTGTAAGAAAAACAACCTTTTAAACCCTTTCCAATATTTGTGTGCTCTTACTCAGGTTGAATCAAGCCTAGTGAAGCTGTTGCCAAGATTTCCATTGACTTCAATGACCTTTGGATTAGGCCTGTTAAGAGGAGCAAGCTCTGGCCCTGTCACACATGCACACACTTTAACATGTGTCATATTTCACAGTATATCTGTGCAAGGAAGATGTATCTTCTTTTGTCAAGTGTTGTATCATCTTAGCTTGAAAAACACCCAAATAGGTTTTGAGTAGGTGTTATGCTGCAAGACAAGTGATTGTATGCACTTTAAAAATGGCATATTATCCTTGTGATAAGCCATTACTTTCAGTATATGTCAGTATATCCTATTGTCATCATATAACTGCCCTGGCAATAATTTATTATTCTTTTCTTAAGATTCCGAGTTGACAGGAAAAAGAAATACTCCCAGGTTGTGTCCACACAAGTGTGGACATTTGGTTCTCCGGGGACAGCCAGCAGTGATGCACCTTGTGCCGCTATTTGTCCCTGGGGAACACCTGTACCACATGCCCTCTGGCAAGTAGCAGGTTACCCCAGGTGGGGTAAGGGAGACCTGGAGTCATCACTGGGCTGGCCCCAGCAGCCTTATCTGGGGTCCTGGGGGCATCCTGGGGCTGCAGCAGTGGTGATCCTGCCACTAGGAGTCTGGCCAGAATGTGGCTTTGCCTGGCCAGGCTCCAGTATTGAGCGGCATGTGCTGCCCCCAGTTATGCCACTCCACTTTTTCTTGTGCAGGTTTTTTTTTTACTTCTGCATATCTTGGGGTCAAAGCCCCACACTCGGTCTGCTTCCTTGCAGTGCAGAGAACAGCTCCATGTGCAGTATGTGACACCATATACTGCACAGTGGCACTCGTCTGGACACGGCCCCAGAAGCTAGTTGTAGACTAATGACAATGTGATACCTCCTACAATACATCCTCCTAGGCTAGCATGTTCTATTAAACAGTATATTGATGCAGTCTTTAAAATGAATATTATCTTGTTGCTCTACCATAATCACTCCTTCATAGTGTAACAGGGTGTTTTTCCAGCTGAGAAGACGCAGCATTCTTTCTGACACTCTTTAGGGAAAGAGTCTCCAGGTCCTAATTCTTTGCCTATTCTGCATAGACATTTTCCCTCAAGTAGAAAGTGAGTGTAAAATGCTATCCCTGATGTGAATGGAAACTTCTCAGTTGATAGCATTTTACATTCACTTTGCATGCATGTGTCTGACTATGTGGAATGAAAAACACTGGAGAATCAGTTCCCAATCATATGATGCCTTATACTTTTAAAGGGCATCATGCTCCTTGCCATACTGTCCAATGACTTGTTTTTTCTTTTTATTTTATAACACACTATGACAGGAAAATTCAATTGCAAATCAAGAAGAGCTCAGTGGACATGCCCTTTGCTCTATATGAACACATTTAATCCACCACACAGAATTTGGCACAATTGAGCAGTTTTTTGCTTGAGAGACTCCAGATGAGAATAGCAAAGGTAGCTCAGGTCAGATAAGATTTGCAGTGAAAGAGCTGTGTTGGGAAGCTTGCACCGTCACCTGTCTGCCCTGTGTCTGATTCATGTCAGTGCTATTGTTATTAGCCTCTTATTTCCATGGGTACATGAAACAATCACAGAAGCTGACATTACGAATTAAAAGTCAAACTTATGAAATCACTAACATTCAGTGAAATATGGAACTTCATCCTAGACTCACTCAGTTGTGCTTATATGTTAGTAGGAGTTTGCTTTTATAAGATATTTCTTTACAATGTGAGTGAAGGGTGGAATTTCAGGGTCATCTCTGAATATCTCAGCCACAGTATTTTCAAATTAAATCCTTAATATTTTGTTCTTGTCTTTTTATGATTGTATTCCTATCTAGAGACAGTATGAAACCATAGAGAAAATAAGATACTAAAAAAAAGCAATTCTCTCATGTATGAATACATGATAAAAATTAAGAAACTGTGGGCAATATTTTGGACTGTAATTTTGCACTGTTCTTTCATGAAAGAAATTGCCAATATCATAAAAAACAACATAACTGAATTAATATGGACCCTGAGTCCTGCTAAACCAGGGGGTAGATTGAAGTGAGATTAGAAGAAGATTGTTCAGAGCATTGCTGTATTCTGGCTGTCTTCTGCCAGTATTTTAGTCCTTTAAACACTTTTACTAGGCAACATAGTTTGGAGGAACCCAGAGGTGTCTCTAAATTACACCACAGGTCAGAAATAACATCCAAAAAGCATGGGGTTAAATAGAACACAAAGTACATACAGTACTTTGTCTCTGCCATGAAGTCCTACATAAATTTTGTCCAAAACCAATGAGTCTCCAATGAGCAGTGTATCTGCTCAGCAAAATCAGCATATCTGATTGCCTGAAAACTTTCAACACTGGGTAACATTAAAACAAATAAGTTCAAAACAAAGCCTGTTTAAATGTGACAGATGTAAAAGAAATGAAACAAAAAAGAAATGTATTGTGAAAATACATTCTAAAATTCTCTTCCAGCCTGATTAAAAAATAGGCAAACCATGTATTCAGATACCTGGAAGACCTGAACCCAATAAATATGTGTATTTAAAAAGAAACGATGAACGGTGCTCATGTGAATCCTGCTCCAATACTGCTGAATGCTGCCCATTAGAATAGCATCAAGGGTGAAAAAATATATATTGTAAAAGAATTATACCAACCAGTTTGGCTGTCAGCTTTGAATACTAAATCAAGCCAATGTGCATTCATAATTGGTTTCAATAGACACCTATACTTTCATCATATACAATAAAATAAGGGGAGATTATTGCTTTTATTTTGGGAGGCCACTAGTTATACAGGCCTACTTTAATATGTATTTTGTAAAATAAATTATATTATCATTGACATTACTCCATAGACTTAGTTCACTGGTACCACTGAAGATGAGAATCTGGCCTTGTGTATATGCATCCTTGTGTAATCAGAGTGTGTCTATGGAGAATAAATTTTATATGGGTGTAAAACTATTTTCCCCTCTGTAAGAACAGGTAGTTGTTCAAACACATCTGTTCAGCATACAAAGTATGTAGGCATTATAGAACACACCTATTATAATGGATAGAACAGGTTGAATTAAAACAAGAAAAGACCACATAATGCTGAGTTTTCCACTTTGTGTACAGGGATGTACCTAAAAGCAATAGTCATCACTGGGGACCTTAACAAGAATCCTGCTTTTCATTCAAGTTGCCCCTGAGAACTAAAAAATATTCAGTGGAGAATGGGTAGACATATAAAGGACAGCCCAGTTCACTGCAATAATGTTTCCCATATGTTTTTTTTAGGCAAGGCATATCCTTCTTCTCAGAGACCTCGGCCAAGCAGTCCATTTTCTACTGATAGCAACACAAGTGCAGCTGTGAATCAGAGTCAGAGACCTAGGCCTACTAAAAAACACAAGGGAGGCAGATTGGACCAACCCCCATTGCCACACCGTAGGGAAGGAATGACAGACGGTAAGTTCTGTGGGTTAAAATCAGGTCTGTGCTGATATGCTGCAGCATGTACGGTGCGTGAGTTGAAAAAAAAAATGTAGTGTTCCTTAAAGCAATGGGGCCAACCTTTCTATCAGACATGCTGCAGATTAGCTTTACACGTTCCCTACAATCTTTTTCCCCTGCCTGATCAGCTACTCTGCTTTCTGCTCCCTGCTGTGGGCTCTCTGCATAATTTGCTGTTTGCTTTCATCTTCCTGGCCTGTGCTGCTTTTCTAATCTGCTGTTCTGTTTTCTACTCCGTGTCCTGTCTGCCACTATCTCCTCCCCAGTCTGCCATGTACCACACACAGAAACTGCCTGTGCATGATATAGCTTGGCTACCCCTGGCTAAGAGAATATATTTTGGAGTGGGCTTTTTGTTTTGCATCTGAAATCCCTTAGTCCCTAAATCCTCAAGTGAGCAATGTTGAATTAAGAGATATGTAAAATTTGGTTGCTCCATTGATCAAAATTTAAAACAAACTTCTTTGGTTCCTGTCTTTTTAAACTAGCATCTCTTGGATTTCCTATAATTTTGATCCAGGTCTTATCAGAAATGACTGAAATTCACATGGTCTTTCATCAGAAGCATAACTTGTGGGTAATTTTACACAAGCCATAAAACACAGATAAATAGCTGTAGCTGTATTCAGATGAACAAATTCCCAAGAAAAAATTCAAGGCAACCCTTCTGTTTTCTACTTCATTCATGCCATTTGCTAGCCAACAGAAATGTTCAAAATAAGTCATGTCAGGGTCGCCTAACATTCCTGTCTCACAGATTAGTCATGCGGCCCATTTTTCCACCCACCTCAGCCCCTTAGGAGCACTTTCTCTCTTTTCAACTCTCTGGCAGCCCCACACAGAGGGAGCTCTAATCTATTTCTCTCCAACTCCCACTTCCCACTTGCAAACTCCTATTGTGTTTGTTCCTTCTTTTTTAATTACCCAAATGATTGGCTCTCCCACTTGTCTCTGCCGACATATATATATATAATGTTACAGAACCAAGTGGAATATATATATAAATGTGGTTTTTGTGTTACTTTTTTAATATAAAAATTGGGGATTTTTTTATCACAGAAAATCAGGATCCCTGGTTATTAACCAATGTTTGCTTCAATTCACCTGTGCTGAGGTTACAATGTGCGGGACACTCGCAATGATTGTAAGGAATACCTCACAGGTTGCTTTCTTAGTAAATGAAAGGGAATAGTAATCAAAGAGAAACAAAGAATAACTTGCTTCTGCAAAAAAGGGTGTTTGCTGCTAACTATTCTACCATAGGCCATTTTTTGTCCAGTGTATCGTGAGACTGCAAGCACTTGCTAGAGTGGAACCTGCAGTGACTTGACCTGTAATCGAACTAGCACTCTGCACTCTTAATGGTGGCTCAACTAATCCCAAACTAAATCTCATAGTCTCTTCTCAGGGGTTATGCTTTCCTGGAGCATCTGAATTCCCAGTCCCTCAACTGTAAAACCAGTAAAGAAGGCTGCCATTGCCCCCACTTTTCAATTATAAATCACCTTGCAGTTTTTTCCTACACTAACCTTGTTATCAGACAGTATTCATGGTGTCTTGCCTGGCATCACACCAAAACAGTCAGCTCCTAGCCAGGTCTGGACATCCAGGATAAATGTGGTATCTGACGTTTGACAGAGAAATCCTATTTGGATGCATAGGTGGTGCATCGTGGGGTGGGGGAGAGCACACAGAGACACCCCCCCCTTCCCCCAGATTTCTGGGGGGTTCTGTTGAACACGTCTAGGGGGTCTGCAAAAGGTGGCTACGCTGCTGCTGCTGTTCCAGCTCCTCCCACAGACATAGGCAGCAGGGAGCGCAGTGTCAGCATGCAGAGCCTGTTGCAGCTCCCCTTGTGGCCAGAAGCTGCCCATGCACCAGCAGCAGAGCACAGCTCTCAGTGCCTCAACCTGTCCCGACCGCTGCTTCAGTTGGGATGTGGCACCACTGTGAGAGGGAGAGAGACGGCGAGATCCAAAGGGGGTCTGCTCCTCCACTCCCCATTTTTACCAGAACCTTTAAATTGTGCCTTCCTGCTATCAACTCTTACAAGTCATCTATGTTTAGATAGAAAAACCAAAGTACTTGGTAATGCAGTTATGCATCAGGGTGTCTCCAGGGAAATCACTACCCTTTTTGGTTTGCAACTTTTCTGGAGCAGTTGATCTTAGGGAATGATTTTGCTTCCCTCAGCACATGCTATAGCAAAACATCTAGTGATAATGACCTGGGCATAGGGAACTGAGACTGTAAATCCTAGTCTCTCTAATTTTTTGATGACTTAAATTCCTACTTTGTGCGTGTGTGTGTATATATGTATATATGTATAATGTTTTACAGGACACATCTATGGCTACCAGTTTTTTATGTTGTGAAGTGTTGGGGGAGTGGGGTCCAGGTCAGCCTTCTGTGATATGGGAAAAGATTTATTATGGCCCCAGATGCAGAAAGGTCTTTATATAGGTGCAGGGAGACAGCAGTTTGTGTCTGGTAAATATAACTAAGGCAGGGAGTGATTACTGGTGCAGAGCATACAAGTTGCTTAGGCAGAAATGGGGAGTTTTGAAGGGAGTACCTCTTTCTCAAAATTTTTATAAGCAACGGAGGGGGTATCACCTTGCCAGACATCAAATAATTAGATAGCTCAATCAGAGAATGATTGGTTGGTGGGAGCATAAATCCTTACAGTTGAACCCAGACATAGTTCATCCTGGCTCAGGGGGCAAGTGGCCAACACTGTGCAATGGAAGCATTTACATGTAATACTTCCAGACGTGTGTGAAGCCTTATGAAAAATAATACCACATTTCACTTAAAATCATCGGATCATATCAAAATGCTTTATAAATGTGAGTTTCCACATCCCTGCTGGGCATCATATAACAATTGTTCCTATTTTAGAGATGGATAAAGAAGGAAAGCTAAGTTAAATTTCTTGCCGGAACCCACCAAGGAAATTCCTTCCAGAACCAGGAGTTGTAACCGGACAAATACAGATCTCCTGTTCCCATCTCTTTTTTCCTCACCAGTGTATGGTTACTGAGAGTTCTCAATCTGCACTGGGATTTCCAGATGAAAGTCTCTGTAGCCTGTGAAGTAATAATACTGAAATAGTGTTTAAATGTAATGTTTGGTGTTTTTATTTCTGTTCTACTGTCTGCCACTCATTTAGGTTCCACCATATTGTTTTTTTCACATTTGTTCATTTTAAACTGTAATAGTCCTAATTTGTAGAATGTCGTTATCCAACATTATATAATGGCTGCTTTTGCTGGATTCAATGGATGTCCAAACAGAGGCTATACATTACAACTTCAGTAATCTGACTTTCAAATTGCACGAGTAAATGCCAATTTGTGGTTCTGTAAGCTAACCAGCTATGATTGCAATAACATCAATTATAAGAAAAAACATTTTTGAAGCCAACATCATAAAACAATTTCAACATTGGCAGACTCTCATACCCTCCCTCTTCTACCTACCATAACTCAAACACATTCTTTGGCATGAGAGGTCACAGCTATATTCATAACTAAAAAAGTCTCAAATAAATTAGTACTGAGCATAAAGTGCATACCAAACCTGCTGACAGATTATTATACACTCATGCTAGGTAGAAAATAGATATTCCAAAGTGGAATAATTAGCACCCGATTCAAAAGAAAAAGTACAGTGGCACTAGAAGATGCAACTCTTCCTCGTTTTCAGTCTCATTGTAGTTACAACCCAAGACATCATGACACATTTGTACTATTTGTCACACCTTTTCAAGTTTCCTGAAAAGTCTTTACATTGCTGTAATGTACCAAGGATAAAAAACAAAGGGATAGAGCCTCACCAGGTGTTAAGTCAACAGAGATACTGACTTACAGCTAAGGACCTGTCCCAACATGCTAAAAAAATAGCCATGAAATTGACCGTAATATAGTACATACTTATAAACTACAGGTTGATGTATATACATTACAGGTAAGCAGCATGGAAAAACTTCTTAGGTGAATGTCTGTGGCCCTTCCATTTTCTTTTTATCATTCTCAAAATGATCTTGGATTAAATAGAAACCTTAATCTATTATTAGGCTATTTTAATTTTTAATCATATTGTCCACATCTCCAGGCTTTGTCACTGTCCTTGCTTTCTGTATAATGAAAAAAGCACACTTTTTCATTGAAAGCCTAGTTTGAAACCTTGTTTTAAATAGTAGTACCTTAGTGGCTTGGATATAAATCTGATGTTTATGTCACAAAATTGGCTATTTCAGTGTTCAGTTGGCTATTTTATAAGGACTTGAAATATACAGTTATTCAAAAATTTTAACAATTACAAATTTTCACTGAATTTTGAAACCATCATGCAAAAATATTTGCCATCATTAGCTGGATTCATTTAAAATATATATTTTGACATGGGTATTGTTATTGTTTTAATGGTAAACACATTTAAATTAATTTGATACTTTTCAAAATTAGAAATTGGATCAACTTTGATAAAGTTGTGCTTGCAAATTTGAATTTATTCAAACTCCAAATGCCAAAAATGAAAGTAAATGCTTGGAGTGAGGAAGCAGGTCCCAACTCGATTGAAATGAGGATACCCTGACAAATAAAAACATCCTTTCTTTCATAACCTTTTTTAATCACCAGATTACCATTGAATGAGCCAGGTATAGTACATTCAAAAGAAAATAAATCACATGCTTAGAAACGAAAGTCATGACTCATATTCTGTTGATTTTAATAACAGATTGAAAGAGTTAGTGTCATAACAACTGGAGTGCAAGGCTAGTAAGGAAGGGTAAACATTTCAGACTAATATGCATATGCATTTTCTTTAAAAAGTTAAAAAAAAAAAAAAAAAAGCTTCCTAAGGGACTCATACAATTTTTAAGGGAGATTTTTTTTTCCTGCAACTTCAAACAGATCTTTCGTTTCAGTTAAATATTAGTTTGTTCTAAA